AAAAAAAAAGGGAACTTAGGCCCTTTCTCCGCGTATACGCCTTGCAAGTTGAATATCTTTTGGCATGATAGTAACACGCTTGGCGTGAATGGCGCACAGATTAGTATCTTCAAACAAGCTAACCAAGTAAGCTTCACTGGCTTCCTGCAAGGCCATCACAGCTGAGCCCTGGAAACGCAGGTCGGTTTTGAAGTCTTGTGCGATCTCACGAACCAAACGCTGGAAGGGCAACTTGCGGATGAGCAACTCAGTACTCTTCTGGTATCGCCTGATTTCCCGAAGCGCAACAGTACCAGGACGATAACGATGAGGCTTCTTTACTCCACCAGTAGCAGGAGCACTTTTCCTTGCTGCTTTTGTAGCAAGTTGTTTCCTCGGTGCCTTACCACCGGTAGACTTCCTAGCAGTTTGTTTGGTACGCGCCATAGTAGAGACTGATGGTTGATGCAGGAATCAAGCTCGCTATATATACTCGAGAACGAATTCGTGCCTCGCCAGGATTGGTTGACGTGCGGATCCGGTGATCCGTTCGGTGCAGCGCGACATTACTGCACTTGGTTTTTCCATAGCCCTGCGACTTTCGTAGCCACTCGAGATACGGATCCGGGATGCCACGCTATTAATGACGTGCGGATCCGATGATCCATTCGGTAAAACCAAACATTACTCCTACCAAAAGCAAAGTTCGTTAATATTGCAAATTTCGTTAATATTCCTAGCAGCGACGTCATGGATCATTCGCCCATGCCATCGTTGAATCGACACGGTATTTTTTGCACTTTCACAACGACATCATCAACAAGAAGACACGAAGACGTCGCCGTCATGCCAAACCCTGAAAAGGGCTGTTTTAGTTTCACAGCGGCGTGGAAAGAGAAGTTTCAAATAGGCGTCGTCGACGGAGTCTCACGGAGACGTCGACGTCGACAACGCAAATCAAACGTCCAGAAAAGGCCGTTTTAGTTTCACAGCGGCGTGGAAAGAGAAGTTTCAAATAGGCGTCGTCGACGGAGTCTCACGGAGACGCCGGCGTCGAGAACGAAGTCTCACAGCTCACAAAAGGAAACACTGGATCGTTTTTTTCTCACGCGGGAGAAAGAAACTGGGACACACTGTGCGACCGCGCGGAAGTCGGCCGCTTTATATACCCGGAGGACGGGACCTGGGCTGCCCTGTGATTGGTTAACACGCGATCCGACTATCTTTATTCTTATTGGTCGCAAGTGCCAACTTTGCAAGGAGCCAATCGAAAAGATGGATGCTGGATCCATAGACTTTACCCAAGTTACAATTGGCCAGCCGGGAACTCTGACCAATCATAACTCTTATTGTCGGATCCTACGATCCTTTTCCTTCAAGGATCATCGGATCCCACGACGAGTGTTCTGATTGGTCAGACTTCTTTGCTGGCCAGTTGTAAGTTATCCCAATGGGTACGGATCGCCCTTAACCCGGATTCGTCCCGGGTGGCATCTACCCTATCACATTGCCTTCCATCGGATCCTACGATCCTTTTCTTTCAAGGATCATCGGATCTCAGGACAAGTGTTCTGATTGGTCAGACTTCTTTNTGCCAAACACGATGATGTCATCTATGTAGACCAAGCATTTGGTGTATAGATGAGGACGGAGGATTGTCTCCATGGTCCGTTGAAATATTGCGGGCCCTGTTTTGAGCCCGTATGGCAGGACTGTGTATTGCATCTGTCCAGTTTAGGTGGAGAATGCAGTTTTATGGCGGTTGCTGTGCGCAATGGGGATGTGATGATATCCCGAGTGCAGGTCTAAGCAGCAGAAGTAGGCGTTTTGTCGCCCCAATGTGTTGAGGATGTCTTGGATGACTGGCATTGGATAGTTGTCCGCCAGCAATACCTTGTTGATCTCCCAGTAGTCCTCCACCAGGTGCCATTGCTTGATTGCGGGGGCATTTGGGTTGTTGTCCTTTGGTGTGAGAAAGGCCAGTGAGTTCACCGTGGACTGTGCTGGTTCGATGATACCCACTTGGGTGTAGTTGTCGATTATGTGCTGGAACGTGGGCCGCTTATCTGGCGAGAGCCTGATGAGTTGGCTTGGTTCCGGATCTTCCCCATTGGTGGGGAGTGATGCAATGTGTTGCAGGAAAAGCCCATGCTTGCTGCTCCATTGGAAGATGTGTTGGGCGTAGCGCTGTAGGAGAGCCGTGATCTGCTGTTGCTCCATTGGCGTGCCATGGACAAACGTTATGTCCTTGCCAATTGGCGCTTTAGGGGCTTCATTGATGGGCTTGATTTGTTGGAACCCTGAGAATACTCGCTGGCCGTCAAGAGTGGCACAGAACGGGAGATTCTTAAGAGTATCGAGCCTGAAAATGACGGGATAGTGCGTGTTGGAGAGGAGCAAGAAGGTGGCTTTGTATGCGGCCGATCCAAGCGTAAAGACAGTACTTACTGCGGGACTGACGTTTGTCAAGACGTGGAGAACCTCTGCAGAGATATTTGCTTTGGTCGGATGTGGAGATAGGCCAACTTCTTCCGCTAAGTCCGTAGCCATGAACGATTTGGTTGCCCCGGTGTCAATCAGGGCGGTTACCTGTTTGTCCTCTATCGTGATGATGATGGTGAGGCTGTCATTGTTGGGCGTGGGGATCAAGCAGAGGACAGCCGTCACTGCCTGATCTTCCTGTTTCCTGGACAGGTGGCTGCGGTATGTCCTGTATTGCGGCATTGGACACATTTAGTTGGTTGAATGGATTGCAAGGCGGCTGGTGTATTCACCTGATTAGCCGGGTTGTTCTGGCATTCATCAGATGAGTGAGCAACCATGCAGCCCGGGTGGTAGGAGCAGCTTTGCAGCGGACGTCTGTTAGCCGTTGTTGATGGCGTGGATGCGTATCAGCTGGTTCTGGACATGGTGCATTCGGCGGGGCTGTGGAAAACGTATCATTGATGATTTTCACAGTAGTAATTTGTAATACCTGATGCTGGTGTTTTATTTGGCCGCCCGGCTGGTGATTGTGGCATTGCTGTTGCCACCGGTTTGGGCATGGGGGGGGTGCAACCGCCTGTGTTTGTTGGCGAGCGCCAAGCATTTGTCCCATGTGAGGGACCAATCGGATGTTGCCCTTGCGTGGATCTGGGTGTGTAGACCGCCCATCGTGATTGACATGAATTGTCTGATGAGCGCCCACGTGATTGCCGTTTTGTGTGGCAAGGTATCAAAGGTACTTGTCCTGCAGGCATGTTCCAAATTGCGAGTACAGTTCATCCTTGGATCATCAAAGTTGCTGGAACCTGGTGAAATGTTCAAAGGGCGATAGCCCGAACCTTGCCTTCAGCTTCTCTGCAATGACATTGTAATCCTTGAACCCTTGGTTGTACAGCAGCTGTGTTGCTTTGGCTATTTTTTTTTTTTTTTTTCATTTAATAATTCATCTTCCTTTCGAGCAAAAGCACAGGCAGAAGATTCTAGGCCGACATTAAAACACAGTGCTGCTCCTGGGCATCATCAGCAGCAATATTTCAGCCATCATCATTAAAAATTCATACCCAATGGGCAGTCAATCCCCCCCACCCAGGCCATAGGTCTTGTCTCACAAGAGAACAGTCAAGAACCAAATAAAGCCCTCACAATGCTCGGCATATTAAAGTTACAAATTTAAATTAACAAACAACACAGAGTAATAATAATACGGCCAGGGTTCAGTTCAGGAATTCAGGCCATTTTCCAAGTGCAATCACAATGCATCTCCTCGTTAAATGCATGCAAAAGTCATTCAATTTAAACATCCCCATGTTACCGTGGGAGTTCAGTTCAGGCTGCTAGAGCTGGGGGGAGCGTACTCAGCTTCCCAAAAGTGATTTAGTCGTGCAGTGCAGACTTCAGGGCAGACATGACAGTTCTTGCATCATATTTAATATCTTCAATATCTTGGACACATTCGTACTCAGGGTTCCAGCCCTTTCAGAGATGTTCCCAATTTTCATTCGATGGCTTGGGATCTGAGGCAGAGCTGAACATATCCATACTCAGGGTTCCAGCCCTTTCAGGATTGTTCCTGCAACTGTATCCCCAGTTTCCCTGGGCAAGGCCACCACGCACCCTCCAAACTTGGGCACTTGCATCTGTGATGCATACCTGAGACATATTCGTACTTGGGGTTCCAGCCCGTTCAGAATCGCTCAAAGGTCTTTCATTGTCATAACTGACCAAATCTGTCAAGACACTGTTTGACATCATACACCTCGGGGCACTTTTGGCCCCCCACCAAACACCCGGCCAGCCCTCTCTGACCTACCACGTGTGGTCCTGCGCCTAGCCACAGTCAAAATGTCACAATTTTTCTCCATCAAATGCGCAGTAAGCAATTTAATATTACTCTTCCGAATCCCCAATTCAGAGAGTACATCAAAACTGCACTTGGAGAAGGCCCCCCTCCAGGACCAAATCACACCAGCCACACTAATTTTACTATTACTATTAAGAGGCACTGCCTGAAAGGTCTTTGCATTGACAAAATCTATGACCTTCCTCTTCAAGTCTGGTTCATCATAGTAGGCGACCTTTTCCATATACTTGCTGCTGAGAGATGTTATATGGCTGTCTGATGTTACTTGCACATCCAAAATTCTGATTTCATTCGAAGCAACTACGACCATATCAGGTCGCCGCTTTCCCTTTTCTGTGGAGAAGGTATGCTCTTCAAAGACATAATGCCCCAATTTGCGGAGCATACTGGATAACTTAGTTCGCAGGAAGTCATGCCTTTTACACCGAATGTCATGGCTTCTACTGCAGCTTTGCAGGATGTGGCCCAGTGAATCAGTTGCATTACAGCCCTCAGGGCATCTTGGGGGGGGTCCTCTGCCTCTAGTGGTACGCTCACCAGTATCAACCAAGTTGCCACGCACCTTGATTGCTTGGATGAACTTACTCCCAGGGAGCAAAGTAGTCCCATCAACAACCCATTCATTTGCTGATGGAGTCTCATTGCAGTTGCTAAGGCCATTTCCATCTCGAGACTCATTGAGTCTCAAGCGCCAATATTTGGCGATCTCCTCCTTAGACAGCAATAGAGATTCCCTGATCTTGCACAACCTTCGTGCTTTGCAAATGAAAGATCTCATGTGGGTGTGATTCAAGACAGCCTGAATGTCGGGCTCGTTTACGTCTTTCAATTTCTCAAACCTGCTGACCTGTAAGCAGGGAATGAGATTCCGAAGGCAACTGATGCTTAGACCACCATCCTGATAGCTAGCATAAAAGAACCCAATCGGGGTATCACGAGGAAGAGTGAGCCAGCCTCTTACTGCTCCACGAATCTTACAATCAATAATCTTCAGCCGACCACTGGTTTGAGGTGAGAGTACAAGTTGGTGAAGAAGCTTAGGGATCAGATGGTGTCGCAGTATGTATAGTCTCTGCTGTGGTTTCAAAGGTGCAGTTTTCAGATTGCTCAACATTTCATCCAACTTTTCTGCCACCTTATATTCAAAACCATGTCCCGTAACATTCAACCCCAGGTACTTATAACTGTCTGTGACTTCCAAGGCTCTCACCAGAGCACCCTCAATCTTGAGGTATGCTTCTGGATCTACAGCCAAAGTCCCTGATTTGGGTTTTGTGACAACAGATAAACTGGCACATTTACCCGGATTTGCCTCAAGACCAGACAACTTGAGGTTATCAAGGATCTTATTGGTTAATTCTTGGAGTCCAACTTTGCTCTCACACATCAAAACCAAGTCATCAGCAAAAGCCAATACGCTGATTCGCTCTCCCTCAAATTTATAACCATGGCCAAGATGGGCTACAGATCTTATAGCCTCATCAATGACCAGGTTAAACAAGAAGCATGATAAAGGGTCGCCTTGGCGCACCCCATTCCGTATAGGCACTTCCTTCCCACAAACTGTGGTAGTCCCCTTCCTGTAATATTCGCACAGGTATTCTTGGAGTTTTGGGGGGGTACCAACACCAGTCAAACATCTTTGAATGCTTGCATGCGACACAGAAGGAAAGGCGTTCTTAAGATCTAGGAAACATGTAAAAACCTGCCTTCGATTGGATCTAGCATGCTTTAAAACTGCATTCAAGATTGTCACATTGATACAGCAACCATCCACATCTCGAAAAGCCCTCTGTGCTGAGCACATTGGGTTGCTCTTAAGGTACCTCCATGAGAGGCCCTTATGAAACAGTCTACAGACAGCAGAGGTTATAGAAATAGGTCTGAAATCCTGAGGACCCATAGGCTTGGTGACCTTAGGGATCAGGACTGTTCTACTTTTGTAGAACCCTACTGGGGCTTTCCCAGACTGAAGAATCGCATTGAACATTGCAGCAATTAACAAGGGACTCACCCGTCTCAGATCTGCCAGTTTGACACCATCAAGCCCAGGAGCTGTTGGAGTTGAGTCAGCCAAGATTCTTTTCACTTCGTCAGCCGTGAAAGGTTCCACAAGAGAGATGTTGGTGCGCCCAATTTGAGCTGGACGCTCATCACCTTTGACAGGTGCATCAAAGTTTGCACACCAGTAGGCTTTCAAAGCCTCAGTGGGAAAACCTGATGCACCCTCTCTCCACTCACCAGACAGACACTGGTTGGCAGCCAGTGTTCTTGAGCGTTTATACATTAATTGCATACGCCGATACTGCTGGCGTCTCTCCAACACCTTCCTCCTCCTGTTGGAAAGAGGTTGTGGTGGAACCTTTGATTTCTCACCCACTTCATTGGCTGGGAGCTGTTTGCTCCAAAGAATCATGACCTTATCCACCAACTCCATGGCTTTTCTAGTGTCACATGATTGTAAGGCCCTAAGGAGTTCAATCAGGTTTGTTGGCAGATCAGGTATAGTGAGCTGTATTTCAGCCCATTCTGCAACAGTTGTATCGTTCTGAGCCAGTTCAGAGTCTTGCTCTTGCTGCTGTTCATTTGAGTTGTTCTCCATAATGAGGGCACTAAGCCTCTCTTGGTAGCGCTCAGATCTGCGCATACCCTTGATAGAATCTAATGACCGATTTGCGTTCATCTTTGCATATTCGGCCAACACTCGAGCATTAGTGAGTTTAACCCCATGTTGGTTCAAACTCATTTCAATTCTTGCCAAAACGTTAACTTCCTCATCAGTCCATCGTGCTCTAGTTCTCGAGTTTGCACAGACTGCCGTCTCAGCATGAAATGCAGCCTTGCAAAGCAAGGACTGCCTCCGATGAGCACTCAACCCAATCCTGGAAGGAAAGGATCGACTGCACGTTGGGCATGAGAACCCAGTTTCAACACTGTTTAAATTCGCAGCTCCCGTGACAGAGGCCCCGGGTACTCTTCCACAGTTTTTCTTCATAGCAAAGATGTTTGATCCAATGAGGGCTGCTAACCCCCATCGTGACTGCCCCTTTTCCACACGCCAGGACTATGACGCAACTCCGCTCTAAATTAGATACATGGTAGCGGAGTCCACATACCTATCCTGCTGAATTCAACAACCAATCGCAGGCAGACTTGGATGCGACCTTTGGACACAAAGTTACAGGGTGAGAAGGTTTTCTCACACCCTGACCTTTACCCCGTTGGCCCACAAGAGACTTGTGGTTACCGGCGGCCACCACGAGGAGGTGGGGTAGGATTTCAAGTGTCAGATGTTATATCAGCTGGGGACATTTAATTATGCATCTTTATTCCGAGCCGAAACTCTGGCAAAAGATTTTAAGCCGGTTTGGGGCACAATGCTGCACCTGAGCGTCATCAGCAACGTCTTTCAGCCGTCATCATATTTTTGTGTCTACCATCATCTAACCTCCTCCCCCCAAGTGAAGAGCTCCCTCGTGTAGTCCTTCTTGAACTGACACGCAGAATCTCACAATTGAGCTCCATTAAAAGCGCAGTCAACAGCCGTATGTGGCACTTCTTAATTCCCAGCACGGAAAGTATCTTGTGGGTATCTTTGGAAAATGCTCCCCGCCAGGACCAGATCACCCCTGCGACGGTTACATTGCTGCTCCCGGTGAGAGGGACTGCCTGGAAGATCTTGTCGTTCACAAATGCCAAGACCTTTTCCTTCAGATCTGGTTGGTCATAATATGCAACCTTATCCATAAATTTGCTGCCGAGAGATGTTACATGACTATCAGAGGTCACCTGGACATCCAATATCAATACTTTTCCATCAGCAACCACCACCATATCGGGCCTTCACTTTCCCACATTGGTCGCAAACGTGTGTTCCTCAAAGACATAATGTCCTTGCTCTCTTAGCATCTTGGACAGTTTGGTACGCAGCATGTCATGCCGCTTACACCGGATGTCATGGCTCCTACTGCAGCTCTGCAGGATGTGACCCAGTGAGTCAGTCGCATTACACCCCTCAGGGCATCTTGGGGGAGGTCCCCTACCCCTGGTCATTCGTTCACCTGTTGCAATAAGGTTTCCTCGGACCTTAATCGCTTGGATGAACTTACTCCCGGGAAGTAGAGTAGTCCCGTCCACCACCCAATCATTTGCTACTGGAGTCTCGTTAATATTGCTAAGGCCATCCCCATCGCGGGAGTCGTAAAGGCGCATTCGCCAGTGTTTGGCAATGTCCTCCTTAGACAGTAACAGAGATCCCTGTATCTTGCACAGCCTTCGTGCTTTGCAAATGAATGCTTTCATGTGGGGACTTTTAAGAACAGCTTGGATATCGGGCTCATCCACTGTCTTTAAATTCTCAAACCTGCTGACCTGTAGGCAAGGAATGAGATTTCTCAAGCAACTGATACCCAGGCCCCCATCCTGATAACCCGCATAGAAATAGCCAATCGTCGTGTCATGGGGAAGAGTGAACCAACTGCGCACTGCTCCTCGGATCTTTGCATCTATTGCTTTTAGCCGACAACTGGTCTGGGGCGAGAGCACAAGCTGGTGCATTATCTTTGGTATTGCATGGTTGCGAAGGATATAAAATCGCTGTTGAGGTTTCAGGGGTGCAGCCTTCAGGTTTTTCAACATCTCATCCAGCTTGTCAGCCACCCGATACTCGAATCCATGCCCCGAGATATGCAAGCCCAAGTACTTGTAACTGTCTGTAACCTCCAATGCTTTCACCAATGCACCTTCCACACGGAGATATGCCTTTGGATCTACTGCGATTTTTCGATCTTTAGGTGTGGTCACTATTGAGAGACTCGCACACTTGCTCGCATTTGCCTCAAGTCCTGCCATTTTGAGGTTATGAAGGATACTATCAGTTAAGTCCTGGAGCCCAGTTGGACTCTCACAGATCAGAACCAGATCATCAGCAAAAGCCAGTACGCTGATTCGTTCCCCATCAAAGTTGTAACCATGGTTTAGATGGGCCACAGATCTGATGGCTTCATCAATAACGAGGTTAAACAGAAAACACGATAGAGGGTCGCCTTGGCGTACCCCATTCCGGATAGGCACTTCTGCTCCACACACAGTGGTTGTCCCCTTCTTGTAGTACTGGCCCAAGTAGGACTGCAGTGCTGGGGGCGTACCCACTCCCACTAGACACCTTTGGATACTCGCATGTGACACCGATGGGAATGCGTTCTTTAGGTCCAAGAAACAAGTGAACACCTGTCTTCGGTGGGTTCTGGAATGCTTTAGGATAGAATTGAGGATGGTCAAGTTCACACAACAACCATCTACATCTCTGAACGCCCTTTGTGCAGCACACATCGGGTTGTTCTTTAGGTACCTTGCGGAGAGGCCCTTGTGAAACAATCGACACACGGCAGATGTTATAGATATAGGTCGATAGTCCTTTGGCCCTTTAGGCGTGGTGACCTTCGGGATTAGGACTGTTCTGCTCTTGCAGAATCCATCGGGGACCGTTCCAGATTGAAGTATTGCATTGAACATGGTAGCAAGATACAAGGGACTTTGCCTCCTCAAATCTGCCAACTTAATGCCATCGAGCCCAGGGGCCGTGGGGGTGGAATCAGCCAGAATCCTCTTTACTTCGTCAGCCGAGAAGGGCTCCACTAGAGAGTTGTTGGTATGGCCTCTTGGGGCAGGCCTTAGATCTTCCTTGACAGGTGCATCAAAGTTCCCACACCAGTAGGATTTTAGTTCCTCGGCAGGGACCCCTGACACACTGTCTTTCCAGGTTCCAGCAAGACATTCGTCTGCTGCCAGCGTTCTCGACCGTTTGAACAGTTGTTGCACCCGGCGATAATGCTGCCTTCTCTCCCACACCTTCATCATCCGTTTGGACAATGATGGCGGTGGTTCCCTTCTCCTCTCCCCATCACGAGTATCATTCGCGGGGAGTGGCTTACTCCAAAGAGTCATCCGTTTGTTCACCATATCCATAGCCTTTCTGGTATCGCATGCTTGTATTGATCTAAGGAGTTCCATCAGATCAGTTGGCAAGTTCTCTGCCTCAAGCTGTTTGGTTGCCCATTCAGCAATCAAGAGGTCAGTTTGGATCATTGGTTCTGTCTCATTTTGCTCCTGCACCAGTTCTACGGGGTTATTCGCCAATTTGAGGGCTTCAAGCCGCTCAAGGTAGCGCTTCGATCTGCGCATACCTTTGATACCATCCAATGACCGATTCGCGTTGAATTTCGCAAACTCGGCTTGCATTAGGGAGTTAGAAAGTTTAACCCCATGTTGACTCAGACTTAGTTCGATTTTCGCAAGGACAGTGACTTCCTCATCTGTCCATCTCGCCCTTACTCTCGAGCTTGCTAATGCTGCTGCTTCAGCATTATATGCAGTTTTGCAAAGAATCGACTTGCTCCTATGAAGACTCAACCCAATCAGAGATGGGAAGGTTCGACTACATGTAGGACACAAATGCTCAGCTACAACACCGTTAGAATTCGCTTTCCCGGAGACAGAGGCCTCTGGTACTTTCTCTTTCGTTTGGCGTTTAGTAGCGGATGTTTGAATCCGGCAGGGTTGCTAGCCCATACCGTGACTGCCCCTTTTCCACACGCCAGGACTATGACGCAACTCCGCTCTGAATTAGATACATGGTGGCGGAGTCCACATACCTATCCTGCTGTATTCAACAACCAATCGCAGGCAGACTTGGATGCGACCTTTGGACACAAAGTTACAGGGTGAGAAGGTTTTCTCACACCCTGACCTTTACCCCGTTGGCCCACAAGAGACTTGTGGTTACCGGCGGCCACCACGAGGAGGTGGGGTAGGATTTCAAGTGTCAGATGTTATATCAGCTGGGGCCTAACCCTTGCTGGACACTTGGGCTCACAAAGGTACTGCTGGTTGTGCCTTTTCACCAGGTTGCCCAGTAGGGCTCCATCTGTGAGAGGTCACAGCTCCCCATTTTGCCTTTCTTCACTGTTGAAATAGCAATGGTTTGCTTTTACCAGACAGGCCTTGTTGGTTGTTCTGCTTGAACCAGAGCCTGGCCCCCCCTGGAGGTGGGATTTCCAGGGGTGGGAGACTACAACCCTTAAGAGAGTCATAGTTACTCCCGCCGTTTACCCGCGCTTAATTGAATTTCTTCACTTTGACATTCAGAGCACTGGGCAGAAATCACATTGCGTCGGAGCCCACAAGGGGCAGCGCAATGC